GCGCCAATTGCGTTCCATAAGCGACCTCACTGTGCCCAGCGAGCACGTCGTGATACTCCCAAAGGGTGCTACGTAATATGGCCCCGAGAGAGCCCAAAAGACCCCGAGATGGCCTCAAGAGGACCCCAATCTATTGAATCGCTTCGCTCATTCCGCCGGCCCGTATTGTGCCATCGCGGGGTCTTGGGAGCCCTTGGGAGCTTCGTGGGAGCTTCTTGGGAACTTTGAGAGGCCTCGTGGATGGCTCTGGGTGGGCCCTCTTGGTGGTCTCTTGGGGGGGTCTGCCTGGCCTCTTGGGGGCCTCCTGGGAGCTTCCTGGGGGTCTCTTGGAAACCTCTTGGGGCTTTCTTGCGGCCTGTTGGGGGCCTCTTGGGGCTCTCTTGGGGGCTTCGTGGGGCTACTTGGGGGCTTGTAGGGGCATTTCGGGGGCGTGTTTGGGCGGGAGGCTCAAAATTTCCGTTCAGGTTGCCCCTGTGGACCTCAATCATGGGGCCGTCTTGGGGCCTCTTGGACCGTCTTGAGGGTTTCTTGGGCCTTCTTGGAGCGCTCTTGGGCCGTCTTTGAGCGGTCTTGAGGGTCTCTCGGGCCGTCTTGGGGTGATCTTGGGGGCCTCTTGGACCGCCTTGAAAGGTGTGAAAGACGAAGAGGCGGATATGTTAAACATGCACGTTTTCCGAAGGGAATGGGACGATTTTTGCTAGTGGGAGCCCTCTTGGGACGCCGCTTAGGGACCTCTTGGGGCGTCTTGAAGGCCTGTTGGGCCGTCTTGAGGCCATCGCAGGCGTTTGGGAGGTGATATTTCGGCGTCTCCCGGCTCTCTTGGACCGTCTGGAGGGCTTCTCGGGCCCCTCTTGGACCGATTTGGAGCCCTCCTGGGCTCCGAAAAAGAGTTCTTGAGGGTTTCTTGGGCCTTCTTGGAGCGCTCTTGGGCCGTCTTTGAGCGGTCTTGAGGGTCTCTCGGGCCGTCTTGGGGTGATCTTGGGGGCCTCTTGGACCGCCTTGAAAGGTGTGAAAGACGAAGAGGCGGATATGTAAAAAATGCACGTTTCCCGAAGGGAATGGGACGATTTTTGCTAGTGGGAGCCCTCTTGGGACGCCGCTTAGGGACCTCTTAGGGACCTCTTGGGGCGTCTTGAAGGCCCGTTGGGCCGTCTTGAGGCCATCGTAGGCGTTTGGGAGTGATATTTCGGCGTCTCCCGGCTCTCTTGGACCGTCTGGAGGGCTTCTCGGGCCCCTCTTGGACCGATTTGGAGCCCTCCTGGGCTCTGAAAAAGAGTTCTAGAGGGTTTCTTGGGCCTTCTTGGAGCGCTCTTGGGCCGTCTTTGAGCGGTCTTGAGGGTCTCTCGGGCCGTCTTGGGGTGATCTTGGGGGCCTCTTGGACCGCCTTGAAAGGTGTGAAAGACGAAGAGGCGGATATGTAAAACATGCACGTTTTCCTAAGGGAATGGGACGATTTTTGCTAGTGGGAGCCCTCTTGGGGCGCCGCTTAGGGACCTCTTGGGGCGTCTTGAAGGCCTGTTGGGCCGTCTTGAGGCCATCGCAGGCGTTTGGGAGTGATATTTCGGCGTCTCCCGGCTCTCTTGGACCGTCTGGAGGGCTTCTCGGGCCTCTCTTGGACCGTTTGGAGCCCTCCTGGGCTCCGAAAAGGGACCTTGCTGGGAGTCTGCCGGGAGTCTGCCGGGACCTTGCCGGGAGTCTGCCGGGACCTTGCCGGGAGTCTGCCGGGACCTTGCCGGGACTTTGCCGGGACCTTGCCGGGACCTTGCCGGGTTTTTTTTCGTCCGGGGACCCCCAGGGCCCGCCCCGCGCGCGCGAACTAGAAATATTGTTGAGCAGTTACCGGAGATCTTAGCACGCCTCTGGCCTGTTGGGCCGGCGAATTTTCTGAGAGCCCACAGAGAGCTCCTCTGGCGGCGAAGGCAATTGAAACCTGACTGTGCGACCTTGGTTTTTGAGCACGTGCACCGTATCCTGTGTCGGTCCGGGGAAGCTCCAAGCGGGCCCCGGGCCCCAGAGGAGGCAGACGCGGCCCATGTGGCACCTAGAGAAAGGACGTTAGAGGATCCGGAGACGGATGAGGGCGGCCGCAAGAAGGTCCCCATAGATTTTGCGGATTTGCGAGGAGCAGACATCGGCCCAACAGTGCCTGAAGTCGGCCCTTGCTGGCGTCACTCAACGTATTCAAAGGGTTCAACGCTGCTTCATCTAAGAGTGGCCACATGGACTAAAAAATAACTCCCCCATTCAGTTCTTGCGCTAAGGGGTTCTTGCGTATTTCTTTCTCTACGTAATTGGGTGGAGTTTCGTAGGTTTTCGCCGGGTCACGCCCGTGGCTGCCTTGTGTCCGCCTCGTGCGTTGGCTGTGTTCCCCTGATTTTGGCCAGATCGTCGCTCGTGGCCGTCTCGTGCGAATGGCTGGGTCTCCTTGGTTTTTGCCAGGTCGTCGCCCATTGCCTCCTCATGGCCGCCACGTGTTAGGGTTCCTTGGGTTTTCGCCGGGCTGTCGCCCGTGGCCGCCTCGTGGCCGCCTCGTGACCGCCTGGTTCGCTGGCTGGGTTTCCCCAGAGGACAGACTCCTTCCAAGTGGCTGGCTTTGCATCCCGAGTCGTCTTTTGGCGGTCCAGGGGCCCAGAGTTGTGAAGCATTTCCCGTCGTCATTTTGTTCACGACGACAGGGGGTCTGGGGGGGAGGATGGCATTCGCGGCCCTCACAACCGCGCAGTGCGCTGAAAAGCTACGTCTCCCTAGCCTGGTTGGTCTCGGCCTCGTCGTGGGTAGCTGGGCGGAGCCGGCAGGGTGATTACAGTCTCCGGGCGGATTGCTCCCAATCCTGCTAGTATTCTCATTCAGCAGGCAGTGCTTGCACGATGGATGCGCCAGGATTTTGGCTGGTGCCCCGTTGGGGAAGCCAGAGGCCCTGGGGTAGGCTAGGGGAGGGCTAGTGATGTTGTGTAGGCTGGGTTGGGGTAGGCTGGGCTCGGTTAGGGCAAGTTTGGGGTATAGGGCCATGACGGGAGGCGATTGTAAGTACGATTGTGGGCATCAGCAACGGCGGCAGCCAGGTGATGTGGCACTTGCGGCGAAGGGGGGTTGTCTAGCACTGCTATCTTGTTCCCTCAGCTGTGGCCACTGATGGCATAGTGTTGACCAGTCCGCCGTGGCTTATGCACACTCGATGGCTGCTCTTGCTTGATATTTCATGTTGATGCCCCCCAAAGCTGTCGGCAGGTCGAGCCAAACCAGCGCTGACGCTGTCCAGGATCTCCTCATTGGGTCGGGATGCACGATGCCGTCGTGTGGAAGTTCGGAAGTCGCCAGAAGCCCAATGCTGAGAATGTTGGTACCGTGGTCCTTGCAACATCTGCGTGTGCTGAGACGTCAGCGGGGAGAGGATTCGGACCTCATCGCTTGTACTTCCATCTGCGCAGACTGGACACTGACTAGATATCAGCGCATGTTTGCTCTTCATGTCGGTGCTCGATGCAAACGGACATGACCCCTCCTCCTCCTGCTCCTGGTCATCATCCTTGCCCTCTTGCGTCCGATTCCTCCTGCTCCTCCCTCTTTCTTATCATCGTCGTTCTCGTCCTCTTCCTCCCCTGCTTTACCGGGAGCTTTCCAAACAAGGTCCCCGGCCTCGAGGAATCAAAAGGTTGACCTCTCGCCCTCGGCGGAAGCCGGCGGAAGGCCTGCCGAATGCAGTGGACTTTCGGCGAGAGCGGCTCCGCCGCGCGGAAGTTCGGCCAGGGCCTGCGGGAACAGAGGCAGCCATCCCGAGAACGAGGTCCTGCCGCCACGCTGTGTGGTGCGGCGAGGGGGCAGCTGCTCACAAAGAGGAGGGGTAGATGAGCCAGCGGGAGCATGGAGGCAACGCCAGCATGGCTTGAGGCGCGTGGATCAGCGGCGGGTCCCGTTTCCGTGGGTCGGCGGCGCGCTCCGTCGCCGAGTCAAGCGGCGCTGGCGCCATGTCTGTCCTTGGGGATACCTTCCCCGATCCATGGGCCTGGCGACCGCGTGCCAGATCCACGATGCCTAATCCATGTCAGCGTGTGCCCGAGGGCGCGTTCCGGCTTTCGTCGGGAGCGCAGGGGCCTTCGCCCGCTTCCTTCGTTCCTCGGCGGGTTTCCAGCCTCGGACTGCGTTCCAGCAGCTGCGCCTCGCCAAGAGCGTTCTGGGGGGGCCCCGATCGTCCCGAACGGCTACGGGAGGCCCGACCTGTGGCCCGAAAACCACCAGGAGCAGCTTTCGGGGAGGAGCGGCTCACGGGGAGACGTATCGACCCCCAGTCGCCCATCCATCGCCGATGCGGGCGGACAGCCCACCCCGCTCAAGAGCGTTCGGATTCCCTATTGGGGGCCAGCCGCCGATCTATCTATGTCAAGATCTCCCTCCCTGAGTCAGCCCCCCCTGTATCGTTGCTCGCAAGGGGGAGGAGGAGGAGGAGGAGGAGGAGGAGGAGGAGGAGGAGGAGGAGGAGTTTTCATAATAGTATGGCACACCTATTCATAATGACAGGAGTAATAACAATACTAGCTATAAGATCCATACGCGTATTAATGATACGACGAATAACACTAAGATGAAGAAGAAACAGAAGAGGAGGAGGAGGAGGAGGAGGAGGATCAAGAGGAGGAGGAGGAGGAAGAGGAGGAGGAGGAGGAAGATCAAGAGGAGGAGGAGGAAGAGGAGGAGGAGGAGGAGCAGTTCGCGGAGGATGAGGCGGAGTACCAGCCCGAATTCGAAAAGCCGCCTTCGGAGGTCAGACGCGGCGCACAACTTCTGCTGCGA